TTGAATTTGGCCTAGTGAACTCTACTTTAAACCTAAGAAACAGAACTGTGTCATTATTATTAGCTATACTATTATCTCCAGCAACCTAAGATAGACTCAGTCAGTGTCTGGTGTCTGGTCATTTGTTACCGCAGCCATAGGAAACTCATACAGTAGTAGTACTTTACCATTTCCCATTGTACTCTATATGGTATCACACAGACAAAATTCATATTTTGTGGAAATGAATAAGATACATAGGATTTGTCACTTTGATTTTTACCTGGTATGAAATTCAATCTGATGTGTTCAGTAGTAATAGTTCTGAAAAAAAATGAGACTTATTTATGAATATATAGAATAATATGAGACCTGTTACTTGAGACTTGGAGCTGCAACAGAGAAAAATTACTTTACCAATAAATCAATGGGCTTGATTCATCTATTTATTTTGCCATCAGCCCCATTGTCTTTCTGTTCCTCAGCAGTCTACCCGGCGATACCCTGTTATTGACGATGGGTCGACTCCTTTCTTCAGGAGCTACTGCCTTAGCCCCTGTGCTCTTTCATCTTCTGTAGCTCAATGTGCAAAAATTGTGCAATCTGTCTAGGACTCTACTAGAAAGAGAGTTACCTGGCTGAGCCATGCAGGAGAAATACTTTCATTAGCTCCTTCTCAGCATAATCATTTAAATATATCCAGTACTTTTTAGCTTATGAATTCTATGATTTCATTTGATCTGCACAATAACTTGGTGAAGGAGGTATCATGACCTTCATTTTCTGATAGAGAAAACTAGGGTAAGGAATGTTTCCAGGTAGTACAGGACAGAAAGAAGATTTGCACTCAAATTTCATTTTTTTTTGTTGAGATTTTAAAATAAATGCAAGTTTGCTATATCAACAGTTTTTACCATTTTACCTCAGTGTCATGAATCCAAATCCATGTTTTGAAGGCATAATTTAATAGTAAAATAACTTGCACATTTATAAAGTGATGTGGATATGCAGAAAGTCTGAAAAGTTTGTATGAGGAAGCTCATCCAAAATAAGGAGGTGGGGGCTAAAAAATAATAGAAGGAAGATCAGTGGAGGAGACAAAGGGGATTGAGGGGAAGGGGTGGGGATCGTGTAGGAAGAGGTAATGGAATAAATCTGACACAACTTTCCTTGTACATATATAAATATACCATGGTGAATCTCACCATCATGTACATCTACCAAGACACGAATTAAAAACAAAACAAAAAAACCCACAAAAACTCTATAGGCAAATAGCAGAAAGAAAGGTAGATTAGAGGAAAGGGAATGGGGGGAGTACTGGGGAATAAATTAGAACAAATTATATTCCATGCTTGTATAGTGATGTCAAAATAAATCCTTTTGACATATATAACTGAAAAGAACCAATGAGAAATCACCCAAATATTATTGCTCAAAAGAAATCAGTGTGACTGTTTTGATGCATTTCATTCCAAATGTTTTTCTGTGCATTTATACAAGCACATGTTTTCTGGACATTTTTCATTTAAGGTTTTGTGTCTCATCAAGTTTTGATTATTTGAAGAGAAGTGGGATGACTTTCTAACTTTGCTGTAGTTAAAGTTTTACAGTATTGCTTTTCAGTGACCTATTTTTCCTGGGTATTTAAATACGAATTTAAAAATCTACTCACCCTTCTTGAGTATACTATTTTTTTTCTGTATTAGGACCAGGATGCTCAAAATGTGGTCTGAAGACCAACAACACTTGGGAGCCCTTATAACTGCAAATTGTCTACCGAGTCAGGCTCTTCCGGGCAAGGTCAGGAATCCCTGTTTTAATAAGCTCTCCAGATGATTTTAACACATGCAGAAAGTTTGGACTGAAATACTTGCCTTTCCATGTGGGTGGATGAAGCAAAAGCAAATCTGCCGTAGGTTAAAGACAAACAGAATAATTGTCATCCTTGGAAGAAAAGAACAGGAGATGCTTGACTAGTGAGATTTCCCACATCCGCTTGCCTCCAGTATCTACTACCCATTCATCTGTTGGGTGAGGGGCTACAGCCCTGGCTAAAGTCCTGTGTACTCACCTGCAAATACAATAAGTAGTTAGCTTTGCTTATTATCATTCAATCAAGTTTCCTATGCAAACACTTCTGCTTAAGCCAACTAACAATCCTTTTACCAAAATCAGAATAGGATAAAAAATAGGCAAATTTTAAGTTCAGTTCTGATATCCTTCCTAAAAACTCGTCTATCTTGTTAGATCAAATGGAGTAGAAAAGAAAGACATTTTACAGACCCTGTCCTCCTGGTGATTCACAGTCTTATTGGGAAATAAAAATTTCAAAGATAAAACTCAATAAACAGTCAAGTCCTAAGTCAACTATATTCAACTATGATTGCCAATCCATGAAATAAGCAATGAGTGCTCTGGATTATGCAGAAAGAGGCACATTGACCAGGGAGACTCTCCTTAAGAAGAAGGAATTTGAGTAGGACCTAAATAACAAATATCAGATTGCTAATAATAATAATGCCCCAAACGCTACCTATTAGTTTGCCATGGGTGGGATCCTAGGTTAAGCAACTGATGTGGATTATTTCTCCTGTCCCTCCTAATGCCACTATAGCATACTTATCGTACCTCCTCGTCAGCAAGGCTAAAGGGTCAATCATTTTAGCAACATTATGTAAGTAGCATTTTGTGGAGTCAGAATTTGGACCTAAATCTGTCTACAGACTGCAGAGCCATGCTTCATACCCCTTTAGGCTTAATTGATGACTCCCAGAAGTTGTATAGACTGACAAAGAGGCTTGTAGCATGTTGTAGCGAGAGCTAGTCAAGGTCACGAAGCAAATCTGCACGACCAGGCCACAGGATTGTTATTGGAAGGCCACAGCAGCCTAGAAGGACCATCACAACAATCCTTATATTCATAGATGATGATCTGGGATATCATAAATACTGAAGAAACATTCCACTTTTGAACATAATGAAAGTGATATTTTAAGGCTAGACTAACAGTCAAAAAACACACTTTGGTAGAGGTAGTTGAGTAGAAAAACCAACAAATAGGGCAAATGTTCAGCCAGATGATAAGGAAAAGGGCCAGAGTCGTGGCAGGAGTAAACGAGAGTGATTGATTATTAAATATCAGAAAAGAAAGAAGAAAGGTTTTAATGGCAGGTTGGCCATAGGGACTGAGAGGAAGGCTTAGAAGTTGAATTAGACATTCTGGATTATTTTGAAATGGACAAAATTTTTAATTATCTGGAGAGAGGTTGTCAGCAATTAATAAGGCAGTTACTTTATTTGCAGAGGTTGAGGGTTTAGTCATTCCTACTCCCCTTTATTCCCAGTCACTTACTTCTAATTGGACTTTGAGACCTTTTGATCTTAAAAACATTTGAGTCAGTCCCATCGGCTTCATCCTTTCTGTGTAGCTTTCTCCAAGTGCTGGTCACCTTTCCGCTGGCCTCTGGCAATACCAACAGGGTGCCCTTTGCCTTGAGTCACTTCCCCTGAATCTATCATTTTGCTCCACAGATGTTTCTTTTTAAAACCCATACCTAATTATGGCATCTTCCTGCTAAGAGTTTAAAAATATTTCCCCCTTGCCTCTTATTGCAATATTTTCTTTGGTGTGGCATTCAAAACTAAAGGAAAAATATAATTTGTTGTCTAAATTAGACACTGCACATAGGCCTGTTAATGATTAACACTGGGACAAAAGACGATGGGCTCTGTTGATGTGTCAAGCCACCTTCTCTTCCAGTAGCACTTTGTGCATAAGTAATACCCAAAGGGTTGGTGAGACCACCCTGCTCCAGAGGCCTCCTGTCTGGTCTGTGCACAGCTGGACCCGCAGAGCCTGAAACACTGCCCACACATCACAGATGCTCAGTAACTGCAGAAAGGAGGGAGGGTGGGAGGAATGAGGTAATCTAATAGTTCTGGAAATGCCTTAGTCTCGTGCTGTTACAGTGAAACAGAGTGGAGGTCTAAGGAGGTCTGACATCCTTGGAGAGAGGAAGCCACAGAAAACCAAAGGAGGCAGAAAGGATTTGTAGAAGGCGGAAAAGGGAGGTCTCAACTCATTCCCCAGATTTCATGATTTAAGATAGAGCAGCTCTCAGGAGGACGATTCGAGGTAGACAAAACAGTGCCACCCCTTGGGGCCAGGGAAATCGTCTTTAGCTTTGTGAGATCATTCATACTCTCCATAAATGTCCACGTGGAGCTGTTGAGAAACGTGCGCATCTCTAGGGTTCTAGATGGTGTCACTACAGAATGAAATGTCCTTTCTATACCTAGAAACAGCCTCAGTGAGGAGAGGAAACTGTGTCACAGGCATGGGAACAAAAGGGAAAATGATGGAACAGAACCTGTAATTTAGTTACAAGAATGTCAGCTTTCAACACAAACAAGATGTCATGTCATTAAAGAACCTGAAACAAATAAAATGAATCAGGAAAATTCTTCCTTTTTGTCTGAGATAAAGGAAGATTAGAAATCACATAAAATTTGCAAAAATTTTTATATTAACTAAGCAAAAAATTTATGTGTGTGTGTGTGTGTGTGTGTGTGTGAGAGAGAGAGAGAGAGAGAGAGAGATAGTGGGAGGGAGAGGACACTCCTCTGATCACTTAGTTGATAGCCCAACAGGGCAGCCAAGATGCATGACCTTTCAAAATAAAGTCCTACAAGGTGAAAAGAGCATAGCTATAAATAAGTATAAATTAAATAATTTTAATGGTCAGGAGCCCCCATAAAACAAACATCACATTTGTTTAGCAGTCTACTGATCATTTTTGTCCTTTCCCCAAATGGAAAGCCATACCAGAAACTTTCCATCTTGTTTGTTAGGTCAGAAATATTCATAAAGAAAAAAACAAGTGATGAATTTCAATTTAGAGGAAGAGAATGCTCTTCTCACCTGGGGCTGCCCCTCCCTGCTGCGTTCAGGTCATTGTCTGGGGAGCCCTGGTCCAGCGCTGTTGTTCATGGAGGATATATTCTTTTTTTTTCCCTAGCTATCTACGAGCCTTCCTGCGAAGCATACAAACACCTAGGCCAGACGTCAAATTACTACTGGATAGATCCTGATGGCAGTGGACCTCTGGGGCCTCTGAAAGTTTACTGCAACATGACAGGTAACTGTGTTATATTTATGCTTTATAAAGATGGCTTTCCTATATGTCGAGAATTAATAGTTCCATGGGTGGTTTGTGTCTTCGGTGCTGTATTCTTGCCACAATATCTAGTGAGTTAAACATGGCTGGATTTGTTAGGTAAAATGCTGACAGGTATTTCCAAAGAAATGAAGCCTTTGGATGCTGTATTTTTTTTTAAGTCTATCTTTGACTTGAACAATTAATAATTAACATTTAAAAAGTCAGCAAATACGGGGAAAGCACCACAAAGTAAAATTGCAAAGTTGAAGGTGCCCAGAAAGAACTGACCCACGAAGCAGCCTGTCCTAGTAAGTATACAAGGGAAATTTAGCGTCCCTGCTTAAATATCCTCCCTGCTCGTGTTGGTGGAAATTTCCAGACCACTGCAGACTCTCTTCTCCATGACTTCAGAACCAACCTTTCTGTGTACTGAGATCCCTTTCTGGCAATAGCAAAGATAACCTGAAGCTTTTGTGAAATTTATTCATAGAGAAAACCTAGTTTTTCCTTCAGTTCCATATTAAATTTCAGGGCTATGAAATGAGATTGGGGGTTGTGGTAAACTCCCAGAGCAGTGTGTATGATCTACACATCTCTCAGATATGAGCAAATTTTCCACAAGACATTGGAAACATTTTATCCTCCAAAAATCCAGAAGGGTGTGAGACAGGCACTGTTTACTGGCTCCAGGAGAGGATTAGGATTTAACCAGAATTCCTGAGGCACATGATGCTATAGGATGCTTCTGATGACTACTGCTACACAGGAACCATCAATTCTTTAGGCAGACACCTGTATTTGTATCCTGAATCCATTAGTCTTAGATGTGTGATCTTGGGTACCTTAATTAACCATATTAAGCTCAATTAACCATATTAAACTCAGATATCTCTCTCTGTAAAATGAATTAAAAGTAATACCTTCCAGGTACCAAGGCACATGCCTGTAATCCCAGCGGCTCGGGAGACTGAGGCAGGAGAATTGCAAGTTTAAAGCCAGCCTCAGCAACTTAGTGAGGCACTGAGTAACTCAATGAGATGCTGTCTCTAAATAAAATATTAAAAAGGGCTGGGGATGTGGCTCAGTGGTTAAGTATTCCTGAGTTTAATCCCCATTACTAATAATATTAATAATAATAATATTAACAACAACAACAACAACCACCACCACCTTATAGCATTATTATATGAGCAAAATAAAATAGGATACAGACGATTCCTAACACATTGTCTAATACATAGTAAACAGTATCTGGTTATAAGGTACTATTATTATTTTCAAAGGTGTCAAGAGTTAAATAATTGAGCACATCATCCTAATAAAATTCAAATTGAGATCTGTTTGAGGTTAATAATTTAAATCGGACTATACTTCAGAATCATTTATTAAATTTGTTTTTTTTTTTTTCTTTTTATACAAATTTCTTGGGTTCATCCCGGGAGACTTTGGTTCTGTTGGACTCCAGTGGAAATGGGATCGTGCAACTAGAATTTAAAATTCTTAGCAGGACTGGAGACAGGCTGTAGGCCCCAGTGGAGAAGTTTTCAGCAATATCAGGAAGCTAGGTGTGGTACTCAGCTTTTTGTTGCTGTGACAAATACCTGGTAAAAACAACTTGGAGGAAGCAAGGTTTATTTTGGCTCACAGTTTCAGAGGTTCCGATCCATGGTCTATTAGCTGGGGCTATGGCTTTGGGCCTGAAGTGAGGCAGAACCTCATGGCATAAGAGTGTGGCAGAGGTCAGCGATCCTGTTCCCTGCAGCCAGGAAATAAAGAAAGAGGAAGGGGTTTAGGGATAAAAAAATACCCTTCCAGAGCCTGTTCCCAGTGACCTACTTTCTCCAACTCTTTCTCACCACTTACAGTTGCTAGCACCTCCCAGGGGTCCATTCAGCCCTCAATGGATTAGCCCACTGATGAGGTCAGAGCCCTCAAGATCCACTCTTCCCAAAACCCTGCCTCGGATCACTGCAGCACTTGGGGCCAAGACTTTAGCACATGAGATTTTGGGGTTCATTCCAGATCCAAACTGTCATACCAGGCCTGATGCAGAAGGAGAGGGACAGCAACAGGAGCTTGTGCCCAGAGTGGAAGTCATGTGGAGAACAGGAAAATGGGAGCAGGCACCCAAAAATCTTCCTTCAGTGCTAAAATCTCTAAGCGTGCCCCAGAGAAGGAGCCTTTTGCGGGGACCTTGACCTATGATTTATCTGGTTGGCAGACCTGTCAGTGTTCTTCGGCCCTCTGCCCTGACCTTCATTTCAATCTTGCTAGAACTCAAGCATACTTTATAAGAACTTTATTCTATAAGACCCTTGATCTTGACTTCTCTTAATATATACAAATTTATAATCAATTAAAGGCAACTATTAAATTCAAGGGAGATCCAGGGCATTCTGACTAGGACTGTACAATTAGAAATTTAGTTGTTTTCCTATATGCCTATCAAAGGAGAATTAGAAAAACAAAACCATAAGGTTTACAATTCCCGTGTCAAGGGCATGCACAAAATGAAGGAATGTTCTACTTTGGGGAGAGCTTCTCTTTCTATACACTGAAGCCTTCACTAAGAAATGTGGACCCCATCTTTATCCATGTCTCCATTATAGAGCACTTCTGCTGTGCCACCCAGGGCTCCAGATGCAGTCTGAGCAGTAAGGAGGACTAAAGAGCTTTGTGCATTTAGAATATTTTCCTTCTATCAATTCAGAATAGCTATGAGCACTGATGTCCAACGCCCTTGAAGAATCTTGCTTTACAGACCAACCAACCATCAACCTTCCTTCTTCTGACAGACCATGGACTTACCATCATCCAGAGAGTGTGATGCCACAAAGCTTGACTTGTACTGTTCCATTTCCAAAACACCTTTGTTAAGGAAGAGAATGGGAGGATATGATGGTCTGAGATAGTCTGTGGAGTCTTGGCAGAGGGTCACTCTGTGTTGGAGAAAGTGTGTAGGCACCCAACACTCTAAACCACCAAAGAAGACAAAGCACTCCAACAGGTGGGGAGAGAAAGGAGCCCTATAAATTAATGCCCCAAGACACAAAAGATACTGATTCATTCCAAAGAATGGCAATGCCACTGGCTAGAGCCTGAGGGAGGGCTCCAAATGAGACAGAGGGGTCAGAGCAGACCAGCAGTAAGGACTGCAGGAAGGAAGAAAGTTTGGTTTTCACTATTTCAATTATTGTTCAATTGCAGGAAGACGTGGAGATGTTTCAAGTAGAAGGATAAGATCTTGTGTGCATTTGAAAACTATCCTTGGGGTGGTAGGAGAGGCAGTGAAAGTGTGGGGACCCGTCTGAAGCTACTACAAAAATCCAAGGAGGATAAGATGCTTCCGTGGACAGGGTGGGGACTGCTTAGGTGGTGAGAAGTGGATAGTTTCTATATCTAGTCTGAGGTGGAATTTTCGGGATTGGTGAACATGCGTGTATACAATCAAAGGTGGTAGAGGACATGTATGTTGAGAGCACTTGGGGCAAATGGGTCATTCATGTGGATGTTGGGATGGTTGCTGAGGTCCTAAAGAATGATCAAAACGATTTGGAGGATGAAGAGTGAAAGTATGTCATAGATTTGGTGGCATTTTAGAAGTATTGAAAATAGTAGCAACTACCATGCAGGAAGAGTGGTGACCAGCCATCTAAGGAGCCTGAAGAGACATATTGGAGGAACATTGATTGAGCTATGTCTCTTGTAAACTGGGGGCTTCCCTCAAGGCAGAGCAGATCAAGAGCTGCACAGTTGACTTTGAGAAGAGATTCAGTGAATTCCTTGTAGAAGAACTCATTGTTCAGCTACAGTCAAAGTCTTGTTTCCTATTTTAGCTCTTAGGGCATAGTATGAAATTTGACCATGGGTTATCTTTGCCATCCTTCTCCATTCTTATCTACACTTTGAAAATTTGGTGTTACAATTTTCAATAGTGTATGCTATCTTACATTTCCATTATTTGCCTTTTTCCACTGTATGTTTTTTTCCTAACATTTTAGCTTATTCATTTTGTTTTCTTCAGGAGTTTACAAATATCCTTTCACTAACAACCTGGAGCTTTCATATATAAAGCTTCACTTACTTCTTGTTGCCCAATAATCAATAATAATGTTAATAAAGCTAGATCTTGCCACTGTCCTTGGAACGTAACTGAATACCCCTAAACCAAAAGTAATGTTTCCTTACTATTCTCTCCTCTAATTCATGTCCTCTATAAATTTCTGCATTCATATTTAATTTTTTAAAATTTAAGTAAGCATATGTGCTCCAGCGCGTGAAGTTTAACGTCCAAATAAAGAACACTTCCTGCGTTCGTTCTAGCTCCAGTTTTGTAGTTTTATCAAAAAGCCATTAAATTTGTTTACATAATTTGTGCTTTATAAAGCCCTGGGATTTAGCTGATCAAACTCTATTATCCTCTATAATGGTAAAAGCTGTTCATGTCTTTTTAATCTAATATTTATAGAGAGCTTGTTACTCAAGTTCCTAAGTACTTGCCACTCAGTAATATTTTTATTATTATTATGCCTCCCACAAGTTTCAGTGGTGCAGTGTGGGCGGGGGGGGGGGGGGGGGGGAAATGAGTCACCAGGATGGTACTTGGGCTGTAGCAGAAAGCACTGTAAACCTATCTACCACCCAAGTGCTTCCTTCCCTATAATGTTCATTTTCTTAGCAACTTTGCAGTAACAGCTTCATTATCTCATAGTTCCTGTGGATCAGGAGCCTGGCACAAGCAAGCTGTGTTGCTGCTCACATTTGACCAGGACTGTACAATTAGGAATTTAATTGGTTTCCTATATGGATCCCAAAGGGGAATTAGAAAAACAAAGCCATAATGTTGACAATGCTTGTGTCAAGGGCACACACAAAATGAAGGACTGGTCTACTTGGGGGAGACCTTTCCTTTCTCTGAGTTGAAGCATTCACCCAGTAACTGGATTGCATCTTTATCCATTTCTCCTTCATGGACCATC